CACGCCAATTCGGGACCCGTTATATCCTATGGGCCATTGAAGTAAATGGCAAAAACATAGGGTATATTCTGGGGGCTGGAGGGGAGGGGTTTTGAGGGAGAGGCTCCAAACCCACAGGGTAGCTGCTGGAGCCTCTCCCCAAGATACCAACCAAGTTTGAAGAACATTGGACCAGGGGGCCGAATGGGCCATTTTCGGGGGTGCATTTGGTTCAGACGAACCGAATGCATATCCCTAACTCAGACCATTCGGTTTGAACTGGTGTGAAGAATACGGTCAGTGCTAATGCGTAAAATATGCATCTCATACCATTCTCTAGTGCCCTAAGGTGGATCCACCCAAGGAAAAGATAATTAGGCCCTCCTTATGCAGCTTTCTGCCTAATGATTCTCCTCATGGGACAGGGTCTTCCAAACGTTTTTGTGGCTCTTGATTTTGTGGATCATTCTTGTGGCTTTGGGAGAGGGAACCAATGGAACAAGGAAGTCAGCAGGGTGTTTCTTCCTTCCCCCACCTCAGGACCTGCGCAACGCAGCTGTGTTAATATTTGCCAACAAACAGGATGTCAAAAATTCCATGTCTACCTCTGAGATCTCCAAGTTTCTGACCCTCAGCTCCATCAAAGACCATCCGTGGCACATCCAAGGATGTTGTGCACTCACAGGAGAAGGGTGAGTACTGGGTGCGTAGGCCTCCAGTGGGGAAGATAAATGATTGATGTGCATTACCCTGTAGAGCTCCATGCCTCATGAAATTAGTACAAACTGGCAATTTCAGAATGGGAAGTTTCACACAGTTTGTCAAGATGGGTTTAACAGAAAATACCAACATTGGACTATCAGAACCCAGGTTGGCATACGCTGCAGGCCTGAAGCACATTTGTAGCTGCAAGTATTTGGTCAGGCCGGGGGTTACCACCCTTTTGGAGCCTGTGGGCACCTTTGGAATTCTGACACAAGATGGTGGGCGCAACCCCAAAATGGCTACCGTCATGGGAGGTGGAGCCAGCCACACACCCACACAGAGGAAGCCCAAGTGCCTAGGGCAAGAGGACCAACTTTTAAAAATACACCGGGAGAGAGTGAGAGAATAACACCCAACACTGTGGTTATTTTAATCTCTACCGCCAATCACATCTTTAACGGCCAACCAGAAAGGTGTTGGCGGGTGCTGTAGTTCTGTTGGGGAACCCAGGGTCAGTCAGACTATTGACAATCTAGCTCAGTATTGTCTGTTTTGAATGGCTGTGGTTACCCACAGTCTCAGGCAGAGAAAGGTGTTTTTCAGCACCTGCTACTTAAGATCATTTTTAATTGGGATTGAACCTCTGCATGCAGAGCCATGTGCTCAGCCACGGAGCCCACAGCCTTCCTCCCAATGGTTGAGAGATTCTAGGAGTTGTCGTTCTCCAGTACTTAACCCCTTTATCGTCTCCTTGCAGCCTTCCAGCTGGTTTAGAGTGGATGACTTCTCGAGTCCAGGCTAGCTGATGTCAGCCAGAGCTATGCTAGAGAAGAAAGACAGCCACATGAATCTATTTCTAATTTGCAAAAGCTCGGGACCTATTTGGACCTTGCCTGCCTTTTGTCTTCTACCTGAAAGCCATCAGACTGGATTTTGATACATTACTATGAGATTATGGGAAGGACATTTGAACTGTGCCTGCAGAGAAAGGTGTGCAGAGATTTCTTCCAGACCAGTCTTGAACCACAGAAGATATATCCTGCTGCTGAAGAGCTGCAGGGTGTGTGAGTGTGTGTGCATGTGCGTAGATTAAAAGGCTTTGTTCCTACACCTTTCCTGATAGAATAGCAAAGCATTCTTGTGTATCCAAAAAAGTCTTGTTGAACCTAAAACAAGGTCATGTGAAAGTTGCTGAATACAGAACCCACACAGGCTACCCCCTACCCCGAAAAAAAAGTATTTTTGCTTTGCTATACCAGAATCAGCAAGTGGTGAAAAAGTCAAGTTGTAGAGTGTGCCTTGAACTCTTACTCAGGCTTCTGACATACCTGGGCTGCTTTCCAAATTGGAAAGTGTCCAAGAGACTTTCGGAACAAAAGAGTGTTTGAGATTTCCCTTGTTCTCTTGGGATTGTTCATATTTCTCTGTGGACAGGACAAAATGATCGGGATACTGAGTTTGCCCTTCAGTGTCCTTTTCTCTCTATTTATTTTTTTGAATTCTGACTTTTTAGTGTCTGTTAACTGGTCAATGTCAGGAGAAATTTTCTGCTGCTGTTTTTGAAGAAAGTTCCTTTTTCTACGTTCAAGACAAGTCTTGTCAGGTTACCTGCAGGCAGCTGTGGTGTTCAGGAAAAGCCGTTTACATCAGAGAGGAAAAAAATCTCAATATGGGAAAAAATGCAGTCCCTACCTCATAAGGGAAGATTCCTTCCCTTGCTTGCTAAATGAGGCAAACTCTTGCGTTGTTTTGCAAATTTTCAAGGCAATTTGAATTAATGATCTCAACCAATTTGGGAGGGGGGGTAATTGGCACACACTGCCTTACGACCCCTTCAACGCCTGTCTCCATCCCACAGTAGCTAGTTGTTTGGCTGGGAAAGAGATACCTTATAGTGCCTCTGTTCGTTTCTCCAACTTTAAGACCTGTGTAGGCTGTTGGACACGAAAGTCAGAGGAATGCTTTCAGATACATTCCTCTATTTGGGCAAAGGCAGATTACTACCATGCATCTGTGTTCTCCTGTTGAGGAGGATTTTTTTAAAAAATTGTGATCTGTTTAGACTTTTTTTTATTACAGTGTTTCCTTAATTAAAATGCTATTTATTTTTCACAGTTGTGCCTTATCATTTACTATCTGATTTTTATTCTGCGAGCAAAGCCTGTCCCGGTGGTAGCCCTTGCTAAAACGATTTTGGCTACATGATCTGACAAGTGACAGCAATAATTTCTGCTAACAGAAGTGATGGGGGGGGGTTCTGGTTCCCCTCTCCTTCCGTTGTTTTCGGGGGGGGGGTACCTGTCTGTCTGGATCAGCATTTCGGAGACATGAGCAGCCTGGAGAGAGCAACCGGAAGAGAAGTTCCATTCTGCTAATAAAAATGTCTTTCATTGAATCCAGCCAAGTGTTTTGCTCAGTCTTACTCAGTTCTTCTTACTACAGCTGCTATCCTATGCAGCTTTTGTACATGCATGTCCCATAACCCACAGAAGAGCCTTTTTAGAGGCTGGTAAAAGGAGCAATCCACTTTGCTTTTTCATCACCAGATGGGGTTGCTGCTGCCAGGTCCCCCTTGGCCACCAGCAGGGGTTGAGGGCTGGAGGTACCAGATCCAGGTTTGGAAATTCTTGGAGATTTGGGGGTAGTACAAAGGTACTAATATCCTATATGTTGAACATGTTCTCGCATAACAAATCCTTCAGTACCTTTGTATTGGATTTACACATTATGGAATAAGAAGCAACACTATCACATCTTGATGTCTGGAAGAAGTTCTTCACGAAACGAATGCCAAAACTCCGGAGACGTTCGTCCATCTTTCTGATATCTGTTGGGAATTAATATTTTTCAATTTGACTTTTTGTATCATTATTGTGAGATAATAAGCGTTTTGTGCATCATTACAGCTTCTATATTTTCAGTATTAAACTCCTGCACATTTATAGCCATGTATCTCCAGTAGTCATAGAGAGCCAGAGTGGTGTAGTGGCTAGAGTGTCAGACTAGGATCTGGGAGACTCCGTTTTGAATCCCCGTCTACCATAGAAGCTTGCTGGGTGACTTTGGGTCAGTCACATACTCTCCCACCCTTACCTACCTCATAGCGTTGTTGTGAGGATAAAATGCAGTACAGGAGAACCATGTAAGCCTCTTTGAATCCCCACTGGGGAGAAGCGTTGGGTATAAATGAAGTAAATAAACTGGTAAGCTTTTGTGGGCATGCACTCTTCGTCAGATACAGTGAAACCAGTTGGGTGCACGCGCACAAACGCTTATACCTTGAATAACACTTTGCTGGTCTTAAAGGTGCCACTGGACTCAAACTTTGTTCTGCTGCTTCAGGCCAACATGGCTACCCACCTGAATCTAAATAAAATGATTAATCTTCTTGTTATTTCTGTCCGGTATCCTAGTTTTTTTGAGGTACAGGTACGATGGTTGGGAGGCCACATCTTACAAAAGGGCACATTTGGAAAGGCAGAGAAATGCTCAGGTCTGGCAAATAGTTCATAGAAGTCCTGTAACTTTTTCTTTTAACAAGGCTCCTGTCAAACTTTATCCCATCCCCTCTTCCGTCTTATACAAGTGCAACCTTCATGTTTTTATGAATCGTTGAAAACCTGGCAGACCAGGCCTGCCCCAGATCTTTTTATCTGCCAGGATATTTTGAGTTTGTAGCAAAGCCTCGCCATGGGTAACCATGCGAAAAAGCAAATATGAAAAGCAAATGTTCTCATGACCCTTTTCTTTGTAGAGCTTAACAGCTGTGCTGCAAGTAAGAAGCACCTTCTGAGTTGACAGAAAGCACCTGGGCATGAAATCATGCCCACTGTATGAACCATGCCCACCTCCAAGTGGCCAATCAGGACTTCAGGTGTGCTGGAATTCCACCCCAGGAATTATATCCTAGTGTGGCTTATAATATAATTAGGCGCAGCAGCATTTTTTCCTACCTCTAGGCTAGCTTAAAATATCTATGAATACTTATTTACAAAATTTATATCTAGCCTTTCTACCCATGCAGGGGTCCCCGAGGCTGCTAACAATCTAAAACATACACAATATCACATTTTAAAACCATTGACATCAATCCCCTCGATACACATCATTAAATCAAATTAAAAACAGTTAAGATATGTACAAAGCTGTAAAAACAGCAATTAAAATATTAGGAAGGAGGGAATCACTGGGGGAATGCCAAACTAAACAAAAAGTCTACACGTGCTGGCAGAAGATGGCAACAGTAGGGGACAGAAATCTCCTTGGGGAGAGAGTTCCAGAGCTTTGGTGCCATGACTGAGAAGGCCCTGTCCTAAGAATGTGTTTGATAAGTAACTACATCTGGCCAAAAGAAATCGCACAAGGATATGCAACCTGTGGCTCCAGAGACAAATCTCGTTCTTTAAAAAAGAAAATGAAATCTTGCAGTTAAGAGTATATTGGAAGGGCAGTTGGGATGCTAAAAGAAGTAGCTTGCGAAAGGAATGGCGGGCAAAGATCTTTTTGAGACTGAAGGACTTCTTAGATATGCTTTCCAGAATGGGAAATTGTAAAGGTGAGGTGTTGCTAGTAAGTCAGGTGCAAGTAGGGATACCAGCCTCCAGATGGGACCTGTGGATCCCCCAGAATTACAGCTCATCTCCAGACTACAGAGATCAGTTCCTCTGGTGAAAATGGATTATTTGGAGGGTGGAGTCCATGGTCTTGTATCCCACTGAGTTTCTTGTCCTCCCCAGGCTCCATCCCCAAATTTCCAGGAGCTCCCGAACCTGGATCTGGCAACCCTACCCCCCCCAATCCCCCACCAGTGGCCGGGGAAGACCTGGCAACCCTAGGTGTACAGATTTATGCAAGTGCACTTAAAACAATTGTGCAGGATGCTCCAGTGTTTGTTTATTACTGTGAGACCTTCTGTGTGCTACTTCCAAATCAAGAATTTACAGCCACCAGTATTTGGGCTGCAGAAATGTTACGGATTATTAATCCACGTGGCAATTATCAGTAATGCTGAATTGTATATTTTCAGTTATGCAGACGGACTCTTCGTTGGTCTCTTGCTCTGAATTTTGACATAGTTTGACTCTTGAATCGCAAATAGTTCCTGACCCATGGTTATAGCATCTAACTAGCTGTTCCAGCATTTCATTTTGTGGATTACAGTGTTGCACAGAGCTTTCTACAATTTATTCAGATAAGGTAATTCACCAAAAGGCCCTCAAACTGTGACTCATTGCAACAGAAAGAATATAAACAGGTGAACATCCTACTCTGCCCACCCACATGGCAATTACATTAGCAATAGATACCCTATTATCTTTGTTCATTTTACTCTTCCTCCAAGGAGTTCAGATTAGCAACATAGTCCTTCTCCCTCCATTTGGAGCAATGCTCCCTCTAAGCTGTGGAGCCTTGTGAGCAAAGATTCTACTCTGTGAGCTACTGGCATTAAAGATGTGAGTGAGCGATTTGGCTGCTGCATAAATTAGTTTGCTCTGGAGCCATCCTTCCGGAGCTAAGACAAAAATGTGTGAGCCGGTGGCTTAAAAACCGTGAGCTAGCTCACAGTAACTCACCTTAGAGGAAACACTGCCTGGGAGGCAGGTTTAAGAACATAAGAGAAGCCAATGCTGGATCAGGCCAATGGCCCATCTAGTCCAACACTCTGTCACACAGTGGCCAAAAATGCCAGGTGCCACCAGGAGGTACATCAGTGGGGCCAGGACACTAGGAGCCCTCCCACTGTTGCCCCCCGCACCAAGAATACAGAGCATCACTTGCCCCAGCCTGAGAGTTCCTATCTATATATCATGGCTAATAGCCACTGATGGACCTCTGCTCCATATGTTTATCCAGTTCCCTCTTGAAGCTGTCCATGCTTGTAGCCGCCACCACCTCCTGTGGCAGTGAATTCCATGTGTTAATCACTCTTTGGGTTTGGCTTGGAGAGTGACTGTCCACAGTTACTCAGTGAACTTTGTGGCTTCATACCCAGGTCTCCCAGATGCTTGTTCAACAATCTAATCACTACGGTACCTCCATTGTGTGGGCAAGGGTGTGTGTATCGCATAGCCTAGTAGTGCAAGTCACTGCTCTTTGTTTAGGTAATGCAGTAATCCTTACAATCAGAAGAGCGGCCTTGAGACCGTGTAAGCTTCGATCAAGAAGTAGGCAATGTGTCACACTGAAAACTCTGTAGAAAGACCTAAGGCTGCCAGCTTCGGACTGGGAAATCTTTTGAGATTTGAGGGTGGAGCCTGGGGAGGGCAGGGTCTGGAGAGGGAAGGGGCCTCAGTATACTGTCATAGAGTCCACCTTCCAAAGTAGCCATTTTCTCCAGGGGAACTGTAGTCTGGAGATCAGGCAAAACAAAACCAGAAAAGGCTTTACCTGCTGGTGGAAGACAGTGACGGAAGGAGGCAGACACATATCCTTGAGGAGACAGTTCCATAGTTTTGGTGTCAGGTTGCCACGTCACAAGTGGAAGATGACCTTGGCAATCAGATAGGTCCCCTAACCAAACAGAATCTGACCTCATCTCTTGCAGCTTTAACAGCGGCAACTTGTTATTCCCCAGTGGGTGACTTTAGCAGCAAGTTTCAAGGCCAAAAGGGTGATTCTAGAGTGTCCCACACAAACAAGTATTTGCAAGAAAGCTTGCAGAGAAGTTACAGTGCAATCCCGAACAGTTACGCCTTTCTATATCCGTGGGTTTAGAGCACTGTAACTTCTTAGGATTGCACTGCTAGTTACCCAAAACTGAAAGCCCTTAGCAGCCTGATAGCCCAGCCTAGCTTGATCTTGTCAGATCATGGAAGTTAAGCAGGGTCAGTCCTGGTCAGTACTTGACTGAGAGATCACCAAGGAAGGCCAAGGTTGCTATGCAGAGGCAGGTAAGAGAGAGTTTGGTGTAGTGGTTAAGTGCATGGACTCTAATCTGGGAGAACCGGGTTTGATTCCCCACTCCTCCACTTGCACCTGCTGGATGACCTTGGGCAAGCCATAGTTCTGTCAGAGCTCTCTCAGCCACACCTACCTCACAGGGTGTCTGTTGTGGGGAGGGGAAGGGAAAGGAGTTTGTAAGCCACTCCGAGAGACTCCTTTGGGTAGAGAAGGGCGGGGTATAAATCCAAACTCCTCTTCTCTTCTTCTAATGGCAAACCACCTTTGATTGCCTATTGCCTTGAAAAACCCCATGAGGAACGTTGGGGAGACAACATAAGCTGGTAGTGACTTAGGCTTGTCAACCTCCAGGTGGTGGCAGGAGATCTTCTGCGATTGCAACTGATCACCAGGCGATAGAGATCAGTTCACCTGGAGAAAATGGCCCTTTTCAAAGTGGATTGTATGGCATTATAACCAATTGAAGTCCCTCCCCTCCCCTCCCCAAACCCCACCCTCCTTAGGCACCAACTCCCAAATCTCCAGATATTTCCCAACCCAGAGCTGGCAACTCTAGTTTTGACTGGGTGGCAAAATTATTATTAAAAGCTCTTACCAGAGTGCATTTTCAATTTCACATGCAAGCCTTAAAACAAAACGAACCTCTCTGACTAATTATGCCATGTGTGAGTGCTCTTACTGTCGGGGGCTGTGAAAGAGAAACTGATGGTAAATTGAACCAGGTTGCGTTTGTGGTTCACACAGCTGTGTCCCCAAGTGGCCACCAGAGGGCACGCAGATCTCTCTGTTTCCCTCCCTCTCTCCCTCCTTCCCTGCCTCTCTCCCCCATTCCAAACCTTGCTCAGCTGAGCTTTGACAGTTCCTTGCTGCAGCCCCCAAATGCTGAATTTCCTGCCAGTCAAATTCTGCTACAGACCAAGAATCTTGTGGAATTCGCTGGTTCCTCACTATCAGGCTGGAGGCGACAACTGCTGAGAGAGGGGGTCAGGGAGCTGCGTGCCTAAAACTGCCAAGGAGATACAGCAGAGAAAGTTAGTGCCAAGAAAGAAAAAAAAGGAAATTAGGGATGCACCCTGAATCGCTGAAGATTTTGTGGGGAGCTGTTGTCTCATTCTGCTTGCTACAGGAGGAGGCTGTAGGAGCAGCAAGGGAAAGACCACAAACAGGTATCATTCGCACCTCCAGTGGTACTACCTTCTCATGAAACATATGTGTGCAAAGCATGTGTGGGTGAATGTCGGGATCTGTTGGACAGAAGGCATGCATTGGTAAGTGTAGCTGGAGGTGGGAGCAGGCATTTTTTTAGGGGGGGGGGGGGGCGCTAGAAGTGTGAGCATGAAAGAGAGGGGATTGTGAAGTGTGCAAGGGGCCATAGGCAGGTGCGCCTTGAAGTGCAGATGGGGATCAAATATGACAAAGCTGTTGGAGATAAAGATCATGCACAGTTCTTTGAGAGAACACATCTGCAGAAGTACTGAAATTAAGGAGCATGATTTGGTGTGGCTGCATCATTGCAAAATTTAATCTGTGCAGGCAGTCACTGTAACATTTAGTCTGTGCGCACAGATTAACTGGGTCTGTCAAAATAAAGGAACAGGCAAGTTCCTGTCAGAAAGGCAGCTGTTAGTTCTAACGTGCATTAATATCTGTATATTAACATTTCCATGTGCATGGAAATATGTTCAAAGTTTGATTCCACTAGCACTGTGTGTGTATCAGTTTTGGTATAGGTAGGTGCCTGCTGTCTCTGTGTGTGTGTGTGTGTGGTTATGGATACTTATAACATCCACATGCACACGAGTGCTAAATGCACATCAAAGTGACTATCTACTGGTGCACACAGCTTTGCGTATGTCAGTACACTAGTGTCCATACCCAGGTGTTGGTGTACTTGAGTCAGTACTGAATTAGTTTGTGATAGTTTTGTGACTTGCCAAGTTCAATCAGTGTTGTAGAGTGTGTGTGTTTTTTGTCCAGGTTGCATCAAATTGTAATCTGAACAGGCATTTACAAGACCAGTGTGCCATACTTAAATCATCTGCAGAAGTCCATTCAGATCAACTTTACCATGTAAATAACCATTTTAAACATGCATATGACTGTGAGAGTGTTCCCCAGAAGACAGGCTTTAGGGAGAAGAAAGCTGCTGTCGGAAACATACTCATCCTATTTGCTATTACATGCAACAGTCTCCTCGGGAAGGAAGGTGCTCGGTGAAAAAGGCTTCCTTGATTCTGAACAGAAGCCGGGTATACATTGCTCTGATTGGCTGACTGGGTAGGGGGCTTCTGACACCACAATCCACTTTCCCAAGTCCCTAGTAGCCCTTTTCCCACTTGTTAAAATTTAGGGTTTTTAAATAAGATACTCAACAAATGCAACATCAGCTAATAGTACTTATAAGTTTCTCTTGTAAAATGAGGAGAACCCACATGGAGCATGGGTGTGGGTGCACGCGTGCAAGATAGGGGACCCAGTCAGTGCTCAGTCATGGATAAGGAGATGTGAATATGTGTAGTAGGATTTCCAGCTTCAGATCAGCAAATTCCTGGAGATTTGGGGGTACAGGCTGGGAAGGTGGGTTTGGAGGAGAGGATGGACCTCAGTGGGATATGGAGTCTTGTGAGCAAAAATTCCACTTTGTGAGCTACTGGCATTAAAGTTGTGAGTGAGCAATTTGGCTACTGCATCAATCAGTTTGCTCTGGAGCCATTCTTCTTGAGCTTAGACAAAAATGTGTGAGCCGGAGGCTAAAAAACTGTGAGCTGGCTCACACTAACTCAGCTTAGAGGGAACACTGGTCCCAAGTCCCTATTGGTCCAGAGGCTCAGTCATACAATCCTTTGCATTCGACTTTGCATTTACTTGAGAAGGAATAGAGTTTAATCTTGCAAGCATAAGTGGTTTCCTGTATCAAGTAATAAGAAAGTCCACCCTCCAAAGCAGCCATTTTCTCCCAAGGGAACTGATTTGTGTTGTCTAGAGACAAGTTGTCGCTCTGAAGATCCCCAGGCTCTGCCTGGAGTTTGGCAGTTCTAGTGTGGAGAGAAGTATGTGGAGAGGGAGCCAAGGTTGCTTGACAAGACGAAAACTTATTGTCAGACCTCTGTTATTTTATGTATTTATTTATTGATTGATTGATTGATTTATACCCCGCCCTCCCAACGGCTCAGGGCGGCTTACATATGGCAAAGCCAGAGTAAAATACAATAAAACATATAATAAATTACATATTTAAAACACAATAAAACCATCCTATCACACGGTGCTGAACCTATATTTAATCTTCCAAGATGGGACAACCACCTAAATTTGATGGCCAGCTCTCTCTGCAACGCGGTCTCCTGCTATGCTGTTCTACCAGGCCGGGCCAGTCCCCCTTTAACAGGGCTGCTGATGGCACACTACCTCGTTGGTAGGATGGTGGCGGCAGCGGCTCCTACTCAAACGCCTGGCGGAAGAGCTCCGTCTTGCAGACCCTGCGGAACTGCATAAGGTCCCGCAGGGCCCGGATCTTATCTGGGAGCTCATTCCACCAGGTAGGAATGTTAAGGTATGTCTGTGTATGACTTCTGAGTGACTTGTGCTTATTTGGCAGAAAACGTAGGCACCCACTGTGGAGACTGTGCTTCTGTGTCAGGGCCAATCCTCTCAATAAGTCCTAATGTTTGCCCCTTTGTGTCAGACATGTGATGAGAGTTCTCTGTCTCCCAGATGCACATGAGCCTGATTCTGAAAGTATTTATGGCGTATAGGAGAGGAGAGGGAGGATAGATTGGATTTCTACCCCGCCCTTCAATACCCAAAGGTGTCTCAGAGCGGCTTACAAACTCCTTTCCCTTCACCTCCCCACAACAGACACCCTGTGAGGGAGGTGGGGCTGAGAGAACTCTGACAGAAACTGCCCTTTTTCAAGAACAGCTCTTGTCAGAACTATGGCTTGCCCAAGGTCATCCAGCCAGGTGCAAGTGGAGGAGTGGGGAATCAAACCCAGTTCTCCCAGATTAGAGTCCACACACTTAACCACTACACCAAACTGGACTTCAGCCGTCTCCCTCAGCGCCACTTTCATGCCCCAAGTGGGCCCTGAGGAAATACTCTTTGCTTGAGGGGAAAACTTACACGTAGCCATCAAGCGTCTATACAGGTAGATGTGAGTCTTGTGAAGTAACTGTGTGTATACTGAAAATGGTGGCAGGCCCATCTCCTCATATGTGGCATTTTGCATTTGTGGCCCAAGACTGCACAGCTCAAGCTGCTGTAAGGAAAATGTCAGTGGTGGTGAGATGCTGTGACCTAGCAATGGACCTCTCAAGTGAATGGTTTGTTTGTGGTGGACCTCCTGATGGCACCTGGTATTTTTGGCCACTGTGTGACAGAGTGTTGGACTAGATGGGCCAATGGCCTGATCCAACATTGGCGTCTCTTATGTTCTTATATGCAGAGTTTGAGGGTGGGATGAAGACTGGGAAATACCTGGGTTGGGAAATACCTGGAGATATGAGGAGTGGATCCTGAGGAGGGCGGGGTTTGGGGAGGGGAGGGACCTCAGCAGGGATATAATGCTGTAGAGTCCACCTTCCAGAACAGCCATTTTCTCCAGAGGAACTGATCTCTGTAACCTGGAGACCAGCTGTCATTCTGGGAGCTCTCCAGCCACCACCTGGAGACTGGCAACCCTAGTATGCATGGAATGCCCTCTCCCTTGAGGCTCACGAGGCACCTACCTTAACAATCCATTATGTTGTTTGTTTTGAAAATAAAATTTATTCGAAAACAACAACAACAATCCATTGTATGTCAGACCAAAGCATTTCTTTCTACGCAGGCTTTGAACTGAGAAGTCCCATTCGCTTTAGCTGTTTTTATGGTCTGCTTCTTGCCTAAGATTCGTTTTGTTGATACCATTTTAGGCCACTGGAAGTTTGTTTTATGTTCTGCTGGTTCTGGCTTGCTTTGATGTCGCTAGTTCTTATGCTGCTGAGTTTAGGATTTTGTTGTATTTTATTTTACTTTGAAGTCATTTCAGGCAGGTCTTTGCCTGCCTTTTCTTCTGAATAAATGAATGCAGATGCTTCTTTAGGTAAGAAGAGTGGGTTTTATACCCTGCCCTTCACTACTCAAAGGAGTCTCAGAGCGACTTACAATCTCCTTCCCTTCCTCTCCCCACAACAGACACCCTGTGAGGTAGGTGGGGCTGAGAGAGTTCTGAGAGAAGTGTGACTGGCCCATGGTCACCCAGCTGGCTTCATGTGGAGAAGAGGGGAATCAAACCCGGTTCTCCAGATTAGAGTCCGCTGCTCTTAACGACTACACCAAGATGGCTCTCATAATAGGGGGGCATGCACCAGTTTCTTGATTAGGAGGTGAATATGTAACAAACATTCAGGTATTTATGCATGTGACTGCAAGCATGGAATCTAGTGACTTGTGAATGCATCACTTAGTCCTTGACTCAGTGGTCTGCAGTGTGATGCTCATGGGTACCATCGCATCTGCTAGTGAGTTTACGGGTGCCAACTTGCTTCTTTCTCCAAACATCTTTCCCCAGAGCAGAGAGCTAGTGCCAGCTTGTCTTCATGTCAGAGGTGATTCAGAAGAACCCTGGAAGCATCACCCATGTTTGTGCGTGACAGTGGAAGCTCAAGTATTTGTGACAGGAGACCAGCTGTCCATATGCAGTACTCTATGAACGTTTGCGAATGGTGCAGCGAATGGTAGAAAAGCTCCAAGAGGACTTTTTTTGTGAAAAGATCTGTAGAAAAGCAGAAATAAGCAACAAAAACTGCCTCGTGGCACTTCGAAGACCAACAGATGAATTCTGGCACAAGCTTTTGTGGACTTTGTCAGTCGTTTGTGATTCTTGTCCTCGTGGCTGGCATATATATATATATTGGTGCGTGGGAGGGGGGGGGGGGGGGATTGTGAACAGTGGAGCTGAAGTGATCCTGAAATGCAAAGTAGTGGACATCAACGTTCCCTCTAAGCTGTGGGATCTTGTGAGCAAAAATTCTACTTTGTGAGCTATAGGCATTAAAGTTGTGAGTAAGCAATTTGACTACTGCATAGATTAGTCTGCTCTGGAGCCATCCTTCCTGAGCTAAGACAAAAATGTGTGAGCCAGAGGCTAGAAAACTGTGAGCTAGCTCACATTAACTCAGCTTAG